ACAAATGGTATTTTTCTGCACGACCACTTGGAAAAGTTAGATTTTTAAGTTATCTTTCAAACGCCACTGGTTTCATATTTTTTTATTTAGTATTAAGAGAGAAACGCCAATTTTTCCAAAACGTGACAGAATCTGTCCAGTTTTCTTATAAAAATTATTTGACCATCTTCGACTGGTTTTCAGTCTCCACACTCTTCTGGAAATATGTTCTAAATTCAAAAATTTAGTAAACTGTTCTTACCATGCCTCTTTTAGACACCATTTGAGCCCTCTTTTTATTTTTCGAACACAGAATACCTGTGCTAGAGGTTAATGTAACTCACTGTCCCTGAAAACCAGTTTTCTTCCAAAAATTATTTCTCCATTTTAGAACCATTTTTAGCCCTGGTATCCTTCTTGAAATATTTTCCTAACTTGATAAACTAGCACCAGTTAAAATATTTTAATGGTTGAACTTCGTTTGCTATGGGTTTCATGTTTTTTTTTTTTGTCTGGCCATACAGTACTGAAAGAAGAAGTGTGTGAATTTCTAAGAAACTTTGTAATGAGTCCTAAGAAATTCTATCATATTTATTTTGGTTGCTATACATGATTGTGTTGCGCTATATAAACATTATGACACTGTGATTTTCAAACTAAAACTCGCACATGCATCAAAATGTGAATTTGACAAAGTAAATAAATACAAAATTGAATAGATGCATTAAAGTTTACAAGTGATGGGGTGAGCCCAGTTTAGAATCTTGCGCAAGTGAGTTGCGAACCCTAACATAGCACGGGAAGGTATTTCGGCTCTTATCGGTGTAGGCGATATAAGGTTGGTGGTGCGGGTGTCACAACATAGACTGTTCCCTTAGGGCAGACTATGATGTCACGACTCGGGTACGTAACCCTGGTGCGTGGGCATCATTGGTAGTTGCAGTAAGTAACATTTGAATATTTGACAAATGGAGAGTTAGAATTGCTCGTGGCTATTGCTTAGCGGTTAAGTGTAAATAGTGCTCCGCGGAGAGTTACTTAAACTTACCTGTTAAATTAAATCTATGTGATTTTAAAAAGAAGAGTGTGCATTTTCCTTATGATGAATCACTATTTCCGTTTGCCATTTTTATTTATTTATCTATTGTTATTATTTTAACTGTTGGCTTTTCTGTTATGCTTATTAAATGCTGCTTATTATTCTGTCATTACACAATTATTTGTGAGTATTATTATTGGGGTGTGTATTTTCAGGTTGTAATATCTTATTGAGCTCGTCGCTCATTAGCATTCCCATTGTCCTGGCGTTTCATGCCAGGTATCGAAGAAACCGAGGGAAGAGCCGAGACCTTGCAAGGCGACATTCAGCCTTGGTCAGCTTGAAGAATGCCCAAGATTCCATGAACCATTTCCCTAGTTTTATTTTTTTATAATTGTGTTTTTTTTTAATTATTTATTCTAAGACTAAGTTTTAAGTTATTTGGAGTTGTAAGTTAAGAACTTTTAGTTTCCGCATTGTTAATTAATGGATGATGGTAAATTCGGAGACAACATTGATGATGATTCTTAATTAAGAAAATTGATTTTAAGTTTTACGCCTTATTATGATGTCCTCAAATTTTGGGGCATCACAATTTTAGGAAGATGATTAAAATTTATTTTTTTGCTCTTTTTAACTTTTTTGTGTGAGAGGGAAGTAGGTTAAAAGTTGAGAAGTGGCTTTTAACCTATTTCCCACCCTTTGAAGGATATATATCATATACACTCTATAATAATAAAAAAATGATATAATTTTATATTTTCTAAATTATAACTAAAAAAAAAAAATATAGCCAAATACAAAAAAGTCATAATTAAAATCTCAAAATAATATCATAATTAAAGAAGAAAATTGATTATAGTTAAAAAAAAATAATTAAAGGAACATATCGGTCACTTTCTCTCTCTTACATATCAATCAATTACTTTTTCTGTCTCCTCTGTCTCCTCTGTCCTTCTCAATTACTTTTTCTTTCTCACACACATTTATTCAATTACAACAAAGTATTAAATCATCCTAAATTTCAAAATTATTTTCAAAATATACAACCAAACAAACTAAAAAAAATTTCTAAACACTCTTCCAAAAAAAAAATTTGAAAATTTATTTCAAAAGACAAACAAAAAACACCCATAATCTTTTTACTTTTTTACACTTTTTTTTTAAAAAAAGAAAAGCTAAAAAAAATTAAAAAATTAATTTTTAACATACTTTTCAAAACAATCCATCATACAAGGCTTCGTTTGGGAAGCCAAAGGTTGGACTTTTTTGGCTAAAATAGTTACAAAAAATAAAATAGGATTTTTAGTTACAAAAAATAAAATATCATATCCAACTCTTAAAAAAGCCAAAAGCTCTTCCAAACGAAAATTTTTAATTCCAAACTTAAGCTCCGTTTAGAGAGAAAAAAGTCAAGCTTTTTTTGCTAAAATAGTCACAAAAAACAAAATAGGCTATTTTAGCCATAAAAAATCAAACATCAAATCTAACATATAATCATTACAATCCTCTCTCACAAAAAAAGTCAAAAAAATCAAAAAAGTCCTTCCCAGACCAGACTAAAATAGCCCAAGTTAAAATAGTCAAAAAGTTAAAAATTTAAAAAACCAACCCACCTCCCAAACGGAGGCTAAAATAACTAAAAAAAGTCAATCAACTTCCTAAACCAACCAAAGTGTGTATAATTGATTGTACTAACTTTTAAGAGTTAATAATAAAACATAACTCATTCATTTCATCTTCTCAGATTTTTAAATAAAAAAAAGGTTGTCTCCAATCCACTATTGTGACCTAGACCATGTAGCTTGGGCTCATAGTTCCACGGTTGGTACTATTTTAATAATCTAATTGGGTGATTCTAATTGCATTTAAATAATAATTTTTAAAATTTTAATTTTTATTATATCTTATTGTAAATTTATTAATAAGGACAATACATATTAAATTTTAAAATAATTTTTTTTTCTCATGATACACCAAAATTACTTATACATATCATTCGTATTTAACTCTCTTCATCTTCAAAACTATAAACATAATCATCAAGGAATCTTTATTCCATCTATTTATTTTTATTTAGACAATTATTGAATAAATTTAAGGGGCTTTTTTTTTAAGGTCCCTGGTATTAACATTTTCTAGCATAAAGGACACCAAATATTTTCATAATGTCTAAGGTCCCTTAGGTTAATCCAGAGAAAATTGGTCCAAAGAAAATTAGTCCAGAGAAAATTGGTCCAGAGAAAATTGATCCAGAGAAATTTTATCCAGAGAAATTCTGAATTTCTCTGGATTCAACCCAGAGAAAATTCAAATTTCTCTGGGAATTGTGAATATATATATATATATATATAACTATGACTACCAATTAGATGAAAGGGGAGAAAAGGGAAGGAAAGGGAGAAGGTATGGAGGAAGCTGCTGTGAAGAGGGGGGGAAAGAAAAGGGATTCTGTTTCTCTAAACTCCCCAAACCCAAAGAAATTCTCAGACATACATTTCCAGAGATTCTCCCCACCCAGAGAATTTCTCTGGACTCCACAATCCAGAGAAAATTCCCAGCCAGAGAAATTCTCTCAACCCAAAGAATTTCTCTGGGCATGACCAGATGCAATAGCTGCTGTTGCCATAGGCAGACAAGAATCAACTTAAGAATATAGTTGGCTTATTAAATAGAACTACAAATAGTAGGTTAGTCCCTCTACTTCACTGTAGAAGTGGATTTCACCTTAATGTTTGAGGGAGATGCTGATTTTAGTGACTCACATTGGCAGCAAATTGTGTAAAGAAAATTTGTGTGGCTTTGTGTGGTTTTATCCAGAGAAAATTTGTGTGGCTTTGTGTGACTCTATCCAGAGAAAATTGTGTTAGAGAAAATTTGTGTGACTTTGTATGGCTCTATCCAAAAAAAATTTGTGTAGAGAAAATTTGTGTGGCCTTGTATCGCTCTATCCAGAAAAAATTGTGTAGAAAAAATTTGTGTTTTTGATCAAACCAGAGAAAATTGAACAAAAAAACAAAAAAGCAGATTTGAAGCTATCCAGAGAAATTTGTGTGGCTCTGTCCAGTAACTTCACCAAAAGTCACCAACCAAAAGTCTTTATGTATAAAAGTCCAAAGACCAAACAATTACAGATATAGACTCTTAAACATTTTAACCCAAACATACATCATAAGTAATCTTTCAAAACTCTGGGTCAATCAGACTCTTAGACTCAAAAGCCTCCGTATCATCATCTCGGATGTACTCTCTCTCTCTCTTTCTCTCTCTCTCTCACAATCAATATATATATGTATGTATATGTATAATGTAAAAGTGAATTGAATGAATATATAAAGTCTCGCAATGTTTCAGAGACTTGTTTAAACTCAGATCTGAACTATACATTTGCGTGTACTATGTTCGCTTCGAATAGAGATCATATGGAGTTGTCGCGTCCATTTGTGTTATTTAATTTACCTGTTTTCTCTTCCAGATCTTCAGAAGCAAATCGTCTGAGTCCTCTTCTGCGGAAGCAATTACCTGTGTTCTCTTTCTCTCTCTATCTATGCATTTGATCTCAAAGTATGTGTATAATTGTTGAGAATGAATTGATCTCAAAGTCTGTGTATAATGTTGGGGCGGTGGTGAAGCTCCGAAGAATGTTGAGGACGAAGAGGAGAGAGAGAGGGGTTGTTTGGTGCAAAAAGAGAGAGGAGAGAGAATGAGAGAGTGAGTGTTATATATGGATATGGGTGAGGGAGGACCTTAGACTACAAAAGAATAGATTGTGGACCTAATCTATTACTAAAAGTTGGATAGGGACCTTAGACCGATTTCCCCTAAATTTAAACGGAAAAAATAATTAATATCAAGAAATAAGGCCAAATCTGTTTTCTTGATTGTTTGTGATTGATTAACTGTACCCCTATACATAAAGGAGTATGAAAACGGAAAAGCAAAGTGAAAATAAAATTTGAGGAAAATTGAAGGAGAAAAATGAGAATCAAATAAGAATGAAGTGTTGATTACCATCAAACATCTAGATATGCTTGTAAAACTAGGGCGATGACAATAATCATCATATTCAACACGATAAACATATCAATATGCATATATCTATCCCATTAGAGAGAGAATACCCAAATTATTAAAATATTTTTTTCTATAAAAATACCCAAATTCAAATATTTTTGTTTAACACTGAAACTATCCTCAAAGCATCAATGAGCACATGATAGAATTTTATATATAACTGAATACACAACTCTTTTTTTTTCCTTCTTTTTTTTTTTCTTGGAAAAATCTCAATTGAAATAGGAAAGAGCAATAAATATCAAATTGTGTATTGTCAATAGTGATGAATTTAATTGACAGTGAGAAATCTGTACATGAATAAAAGGAATAGATGTAATGAGAAATTTGTTTAAGAGTTTTTCAAAGTATAGTATAATTTGAGATTATTTATTTATTTATTATTTGGGTGTACCTTCAAGGGTGATTTGGGGAAAAAAATATAAAATGTATTAAGAGTAAATTATAATCTTAAATAATTTAATAGAATATATTGATAAATTAAGTGTACTTAATAATTTTTTTGGTGCAAATAGAATCTCCCATCTTATTCGTTATTTTTTATAATTTGACTGGTAAATCATTCATAAAAAATTAGTTATATTGTAATTATATTATTTTTATATGGGTAAATTACAAATACACCCCATGAGATTTGATTAAAATATAAATCGCCCCCAATAGTTTTGAAAATTATATTTCACCCCCTAAGGTTTTTAATTTCATAACAAATCTCCCTTTTTATTCATTAATCATTAAGTCAATTAACAGTTTTTAATGATATTGAAAATATATTTCAATTAATAATTTAGGTAATTTTATTATTTTATAGAAGAGTAATTATGAATTTCATTTTTTAGTTAATTCTGCTAAATAAAAAATTCTAACAAAGGAGCATTTGTAATTTTTAAAACCACAAGAGGTAATCTGTATTTTAAGTAAACCTTAGGGGGTGTATTTGTAATTTACCCTTTTTATATTGTAAGATAAGAATTTGTAAATTATTCATAAAAAAATTAATTAATTAAATTATTATAATCACGTAATTTTTTAATATTTATTTTTTAAAAATAAAAAATTTATTTTCAAAATAACATTTATTACTTATTATTTTAAACAAATATAAAAAAAAAATTAATATACAAATCTACTTTCTAGACCGAATCATGTGTAAATGACATGATTGGTTGATAATGAAAAAACATATGAGAAAGTGTGTTACCTTCGATAGGGGTGGGCGCGGATCGGTTGCGGCCACGAAACCTCTAATCCGCCATCCGTCCGCCAAATTGGCAGATTGGAGAAAATCAATCTGCATCCGTCTGCCAATCCGGCGGATGCGGATTTGGCGGATTGGCGGATGAATGCGAATCGGTTGGCGGTTTGAAATTTTACAAATTTTCAACATACAAAAAATAAAAAAATAATTGTGCATAATTCAACATCTATTTATTCATTATAAATTATAATAGACAATGCAACTTGGACATAATTCAAAATTTAAAATCATTTATTCATGAAAAACATTCATATCATTTGTTCAAAATCATTTATTCATTCACATCTATGAAACATGAAAAATGGACATATTGGCATCCTACTAAAGTAATGATATATAAAGTCAACAGATGCAATGTTTTCAATGATGCGTTTTGGCATCCAAGTTTAAGTCATATATGTAAATATCAAATGATGATAAAGTTATCCAAGATATGCATATAAGGGTGCAAATAATTTTATGATAATTATATTTTTTCATTAATTTATTTATCATCTTATCACTGATTTAATGAGTCTCTCTATTCATGTATTTTATTAATCTGATAATACATAATATAAAAAAAAAACCACAATCGTAATATTATTGGAATGAATAGCTTTTGATTTAATTAACTCTCTCCCTCTCTCAAAAAAAAAAAAAAAATTGCAATAAGACCAAAGTTTGGGTATTAGCGATATACTCTGTTTGGTAGGTGAAAAAATATAAGAGAAGTAAAATAAATCAAAACTTTGAATTCTATTTTTTCTTTTAAATGCATTAACACAATGAAAATTTCCAAATCGAGCTTAATACAGCAATTTTGGTAGATTCCATAGAACATCAACAAATATTCGAAACTTTCAGATTTCGAGGCAGTTCACAGTTTTTTTAAAATATATTTTTGAGAATCTGCTTTTCAACCTAAATGTAAAATTTGTTTGAATAAATTGACAGCAATTCATTATTGAAAAATTAGGAAAGAAGAGATATCTTAAGACTTAAACCTTCATTTTTTAATGCGGAAAATTAACATATATATATATACTATTTTCCTTCGCTTTCTCGGCAACCAAACAGATGGTTATAGAAAATCAAATCTCTTGTAACTACGCCATATATCTACAACTCGATCAAACACACCGTACTTCCACAGTCTCAAAACAGATTCTACATTATATTGGGGAGAAACTTGGTCCTCATTTGATAATCTTACAAGTGCTTTAAAGATTCATCATTTGATAATCTTATTCCATCTGGGGAGAAACTTGGTCCTCTTATATCTCCTATCTGTTTGAGGTTTAGAACCATACAATTAATCAACAACAAAACAGATTCAAAATAGATTCTACATTATATTTATATTTATGTTAGTATTTTAAGAGATAATAGCCCATACTTCCACAAACAGATTCAAAGCAAATTTCACAAACATCAACAACAATCAATCCTAGTATAGCCCATACTTCCACAGTCTCCAAACAGATTCTACATTATATTTATGTTAGTATTTTAAGAGATAATAGCCCATACTTCCACAAACAGATTCAAAGCAAATTTCACAAACATCAACAACAATCAATCCTAGTATAGCCCATACTTCCACAGTCTCCAAACAGATTCTACATTATATTTATGTTAGTATTTTAAGAGATATCCGAGGGTTTGGTTTTTTGGGGGGGGGCGGGCAATAGATCTACTTTTGTCTGCCAAAAGCAATCTATTAGAGCCCCAATCGATTTACCCCAATCTCATTTACACACAATTTTTACCTATATGTAGCATTTCTGATATATTTGTGTCACTCTTTTATATGAGTGTCAAGCAATGGCATTGTAATTATTCCCCTTTTCTCAATTTGCTTAAACACGGCAAGATTTGTAAGTCCGAGCAGGCTATGATGACATTATTGTTGTATTAAGGATTATGGGGAAGAAGAAAAACAAAAAAACAAAAATCACAAAACTCATCTTTCTATATATCATGAATGATGCTTACTAGTAATTCTATTCCCATTATAAGATTAGCTAAGCATCTTTCAATCATGGTTGCCGTATATACGTGGACTAATAGGATCTTGTTATTATAATTGCAATTATGATATAAACAAAATAAACCAAAAAAATCTTGTTTATATAGCAAGAATGATGCTTAGAGGTGATCGCGTTCCTATGGAAGATTGGCTTGCAATCAGGCCGCCATAGATGCTTGGATTCATCATATCTCGTAGTTTTAATTGCTATCATTATATCACCTGGTTATAAACCATATATATATAGCGTGAATGATGCTTAGAGGTGATTATATTTTTGTAATATTTTTTACAAAAATACCGGGTTGATTTTATGCTGTTAGCCAGTGCAGAATAAGTTTGTTGTTTGCTTGAAACACAAAACATTCATATCCTTATCGTTCCATGTTCGTGCCTAATGTCGTCTTTAATATTTCCTTCTTTTTGTGCAATGTAATGTGTCCTATGAGGTTGAATTTCTATTAGTTTCATTACTTTTTCCCCGCTGTTGTTTTGTAGTGACTGAAATTCATGGAAGGACATTTGGAGTATGGACGCTCTTGACTTGCACTCTTTGCTTTCTTTGTGCGTTTAACCTTGATAACAAGCCGCTATACCTAGCTACCTTTTTGTCTTTCATCTACGCGCTTGGTCATTTCCTCACAGAATACCTAATATATGAGACAATGGCCATTGCAAATCTGACAACTGTTAGCGTCTTTGCAGGTATTAATTAATAATTACTAGTAAAATATGATAATCTTTGGACTTTATTTTACATAATCATTCCACTTGACATTCAAGTCGTCGTGATTTTATTTTGATCTGTATTCTTCTCCATTTTGTGTGCATTTGAAAATTCAGTTTAGGTTCGGAGTCCTACCAAATCATTATCTGATCTTGGATGTTGCACTCAATCAAAAAGTCAAATGTACATTGTCAATCTGAATTGCATAGTTAATCCTTTTCTTCCTTTTTTTTTATTCCTTTTTTCTGTTAAAATTTTCATGAAGATAATATTAGTCGCTGTCTACAATTGATCCAACATAGATCAAAACATCCTTTCCCCATCTCAAATAATTTGGTATTCCATTTCTGACACACAAACAATCTATGGACATTGAGTATGGCAATTTTTCGGTAGGACATTTGATCACCATTGCCATTTTCATCCAAATTATTCGACCATCACAATTAGGATCATGTTTTACAAATTCACGTCATTCAACATTATTGTTTCACAAACTTTTGATTTTTAGATCTTCTGATGATTGTATGTTTTTCTTCTTCTTTTTATTTTTTTGGTAAGTCTTGTGTCTCTTTACACAAGACCTGAACCCAAAAAATTAAATTTGTTTTTTTCAGAAAAAAGAAAAAAGGAAAGAACAAAAACCAGAAAGAAAAGTGCATTTTTAAAGTTCCTCTACTTTTACTGGAAATTTTTCTTACATTGGTTCACCCAAAAGGCTTTATGTGCAACTAAAGTACTAAACTCGTTATCAAATAGTTTTTTTTCTTTAATTAGTAATATTTATACAGGTGTGCTGTTAGTTTTCGCAGTCTTCTATATAATTTATTTAGTATAAGCTTAAATTTTGTGTTTTCAAGTCTTTCCTGTCATCTTATTGTGTAGTTTGTTCTGTACTTCACTATCTCCTTAATGATACTGCACTATTTTGGACAACAGATTAAGATACTCCCTCTGTCCCAAAATAATGGTTCATTTTGGAGAATCTAACTTTTTTTATTAGTACAATTATTACACTTTAAAAAAGTTGATTTTCCAAAATTACCCTTTTGATAGTACATTTTTTGGGAATATCAATGTCATAATTGTACTTTTTATATTGTTTATTATTTAAAAGAAGGGCAAAATAAGAAATTTATATTATTTTTGTACTTGGTTTTTGAAGAGGGATTAATATTTTGGGATAATGAAAAATGGAATAAGGGACTAATATTTTTGGGACGGAGGGAGTAATTTTTTGTAACGATCTATACAGAACAAGGATGCACCTGTTTGGCTCTCTTGTGCAAGTTCCTATTTTTGAGCAGATATTTACCTTTGCATATGAGAGGGAGATTTTATGAGCTGAAAATGGGTCATGGTAAGGGCCGGGCAAGTTGAAGGCCGAGCGCATTTGGGCCAGGATAGCTTTGGGCTTGCACGGAGATGGGGCTGCTCGGCTAAAGCCCAAGACCGAGCTATTTGAACTTGCACAGGTGGGAACCGTGCTATTTGCATTGCTCGGCAGGAAGGCTCGTGCCTTTAGCTCTGCAGGAAGGCCTTTATTTTACCCGCGTGACCTATTTCGAGCTCGGCTGTGCCGGAATGCAACTGAGCTCGGTCGGTATGGAGCTCGGCTAGTGAGCATTCGGGCATGCGGCGCAGCACGGCCGTGTGAGGCCGAGGTGATTTCGCCGGTCTGCCGAGCTCCGCCAAGATATCCTAACAGTTTGGTTAGGTGGTGATTGCTGGATTTGTGCTGACAGATGGGATAGCAACACCACGTGTCGAGAGACTAATGGGAGTAGATTTGGAGCGCAGAAGGTATATAAGCGTGTTTGCGCCCCTCATGATGAGACAGATGATCATTTAGTGAGATACACTTAGACATTCAACTCTCTCCTCTCTCGCTCTATCCCTGAGTGGGTGCTAACTTGACCGTCGGAGGGGTTTTCCGGCCACACACCGCCGGGTAGCTTACTGCCGTTGTGTTCGCAGGTCGATCGGACAGACAGGGAAGAAAGGTGTACGGGCTCGCTGGAATATTTGCTCTCCGTACAATTGGCGCCGTCTGTGGGAACTTGATAGACAAAACCTTGTCTTCCCAGCTCATCTGATCGTCGTCCATGGCGAACAACGAAGAGATTCCATTGTCTGCCATCGACGGAGTTACCCCGGAGTCAGCCAGACGGAGAGAAGGACACCCCGCCATTCTTCCGATGGCGGACCTAGAGACTTCTCTAGGAGGACATTCGAGAGACGCGCGGGATAAGCGCGGAAGAAGCTTTGGTCATTCTCGGAGTCCAGACGGTCACTGGCGGCGGAGAGAATCGCACGCCAGACGTTTGGAACACAAGCTAAGGGACCAAGATGCCGTCATCCGGAGAATGGCAGCGGAGATGGAGGATCTTAAGCGACATGTCAAAGGGAAGGGTGTAGCTGGAGTGGGAGACCACAGTGAGCGCACCCAACCCCGCCGTTCAGGCAGTCAGAGCTAGAGGCACACTCTCTCCTTTCGTTCACCAGAAGTTACAAGGTGGGAGATTCCGACGCGTCTGTAAAGAGGTCAAGCGTGCAAGATAGTACCTACATTCCCTCTCGTCCGGCCACGACGTCGAGGTATTCCTATTCCGCTTGCTCAGAGGACTTGCGGGCAGTCTTGAAGGAGCGGGCTCGCCGGCGAGAGACTCAGGGTGCCGGCGTTCCAGCAGTTATCCTATGGGGGTCGCGCCAGTGAAGAGGTCGTAATACCGCCACCTCGCCTTGCTGTGCCTCCTCCTCTAGACACGGATTTGGCGAGGATGAGCGCCACTTCTTTCTCCCTGGAGATAGAAACAACACCGCTTCCCGCGGGCTTCCACCAGCCAAAGTTCACGCTCTACGACGGAAAGAACGATCCATACATGCATGTAAGCCACTTTCGACAGGTCATGGCCGGATATAGGCGGAATGACGCTCTTATGTGCCTTATCTTCCTGTCAAGTTTGGGCGAGCTTGGGCGAGCTGGGCTTGAAATGGTTTGAGAGGCTGCTGGAGGGGAGCATCGAAAGGTGGCAGCAGTTGGCGGAAGCCTTTGTGATGCGTTTCAAAACAAACACCAGAACGCCAAAGGAAGTTGACCACATTCTTAGTGTCAAGATGGAGTCGAGCGACACACTCAAGGCATATAACTCCAGATACTGGGAAACCTTTAATGAGATCTTGGATTGCCCGGTCAACCTGGCAATCACACAGTATAAGCGTGGTCTCCTGGTCGGACATAGACTGCAGGACTCGCTTACCATGCACCAGCCGACATCCATGGGCCAACTAATGCAGCACATTAATGAGCACGTCCGAGTAGAAGATGATGCGGCAGCATCTACCGCGAAGGCAACTCCGGTAGCAACAGACAAGAGGTTGGCTGGCAAGGTGCACGCGGTTGGACAGGAGGCCAACCGTTCAAATGATCTCGCCGAGGAATCTGACCGCTATTTAAATCATCGAAATCGGGGTAGGGGTTGGCGGAATGACCGAGATGAATACCCCCGCGACGACGTAGCTAATGCAAACAGAAGGTTGAAAGCTCGGACGGGCATCACTACGGTCTTTAAGATTCCAATCTATCGCATACTTAGTGAAATCCGTGACAAGGATTACGTCCGGTTTCCTGCTAAGTTAGGCGATGCGCAAAAAGGCTTCAATCCGCGATACCGCTGCACATTCCACCGGGAGCGCGGACACCGGGCAGAGGACTGTTTGCCTCTGAAGCAACACTTGGAGGAGCTAGTCGCAGCCGGACACTTGGACCTTTACATTGATGGGGGTGTGAAGGCCGCACATCAAGCCCCGGTTGACCCGCGTGGACCGGATGACCTGGAGGCGCCCCCACAAGGAGTTGTTAATGTCATCCATGGCATAGTGGAGCCGGCGCATGTATGCGAGCTCCAAGGTATGATCAAGAAGGCAGAACACATGAGGGAAGTTTTGTCGGTCCAGCTTGTGTTCAAGAGGGGGAAGACCGAAGAGAAAGACGTGATCAGTTTCTCTGCAAGGGACTTAGAACGCATTCAGACGCCGCACAACGATGCCTTAGTGGTCACACTCTGCGTTAAGGAATTCGAAGTCAAGCGCATCTTGATCGACCAGGAAAGCTCGGTCGAGATCATGTATTACGACGCGTTCAAACAGTTCAAACTCCGAGATACAGACTTGGCTCCGGTAACTTCGCCACTGGTTGGTTTCAACTCGCAACTGGAGTGGCCTTTGGGAAAAATTATTCTGCCTGTCAAAGCGGGATCCGTGGTCAAGCAAGTGGAGTTCTGGGTATTGCATGTGCCGTCTACATATAACCTGATCCTTGGAAGGGGATGGCTTCACGCTATGCAAGCCGTAGCGTCGACCTACCATCAAGTGATGAGATTCCCCTCGGCTATGGGGGCAATTGAGGAAGTTTGGGGCGATTAGGTCATGTCGAAGCAATGCTTCGTGGCAGTGAACGGGAGCTGAGCTGCCAAAGGCTTCGTCCAAATGATTGAAAGACTGGAAGACCGGAGAGTCCTTGACGATGTGGGCACCAAGGCTGAGGACAAAGCCGTTGAAGAGTTGGTGGAAGTGCGACTTGACACGGAGAGCCCGAACAAGTTCTTCTTGCTTGGATCAAGCTTTACCGCCCAAGAAAGGACCGAGATGGTGGAATTTTTTATGGCAAATATCGAAGTCTTCGCATGGTCACCTTACGACATGCCCGGTATCGATCCGAGTTTTATTTGCCATCACCTCAATATTTTTCCCGGGGCAAAGCCGGTCATTCAGAGAACGAGGAGATTGGCGCTACACCATGCCAAGGTAGTTGCAGAAGAGGTGAAAAACTTGCTTGAGGCACGAGCTATTCAGGAAGTGCACTACCCTTGGTGGATTTCAAACACGGTCGTGGTACCTAAGAAGAATGGGAAATGGCGAGTTTGCGTCGACTACAAGACCGTCAACCGAGCTTGCCCTAAAGACAGCTTTTCCCTGCCTAGAATAGACCAGCTTGTCGATCTAACGGCCGGACATAACAGACTCAGTTTTTTGTATGCCTACCGCGGCTATCATCAGATTGCCATGCATGGCCCCGACCGTGAGATCACCTATTTCACTACTTCAAGGGGACTCTTCTTTTATCGAGTCATGCCTTTTGGTTTGAAGAACGCCGGGGCAACTTTCCAAAAGATGGTGACCAAGATGTTCGCTCCTCTGCTAGGTCGGACAATGGAGGCTTATATTGATGATATGGTGGTTAAAAGCCGGCATCAAGCAGACCACTTGTCTGACTTGGCCGAGACGTTCGCCATTCTCAAACGACGCAAGCTATGCCTGAATGCGTCTAAGTGTGCCTTTGGCGTGGGATCCGGAAAATTCTTAGGCTTCCTAGTCACAAACCGAGGTGACATGGATAGGCCCACAAGGCATACGGCCCACGGCAAACCACCCCGAACCCATCGCTTGGGGCCAATGGCACAACCCGGTTGACAAGGCCCAGAACAGCTGGAGGCCACCTAGACATGAAGGGCCAACGGCTTCTTTCAAGCTTTGAAATCAAAGTTCTCATGGGATGAAGAATGTGACCGGGCTTTGGCCGAGCTCAAGGAGTATCTGTCTTCAGCACTACTGTTGGTAACACCGAAGCTTGGCGAGGAACTATACCTTTATCTGGCCGTTTCTCAGCATGTAGTTAGTGCGGTGCTTGTCCGGTTGGAAGGAATCAAGCACCTCCCTATCTTTTATGTAAGTAAAACCTTGCTACCGGTAGAATCGAGATACTTGCCGCTGGAAAAACTTGCGTTGGCATTAATAATGGCCTCCAGGAAGTTGGCGCAATATTTCCATGCTCATACAATCATTGTTCTAACCGAGTTCCCCCTCAAAGCTTTGTTCGAGCGGGCGGACTTTTCCGGTTGAATTCTCAAGTGGGCGGTCGAATTGGAACAGTTTGACGTCCAGTTCTAGCCACGCACTGCCATAAAGGCCCAGACATTGGCCGATTTTGTTGTTGAATTCTCACCCGGGATTCATCCCGTCTGCCCAATGGATCTTGTGGCGGTAGCCGAGGAGGTGAGTGCAGATTTAACCGAAGTAACACAGCAAGGCGATGTTGGCGATGCGGAACTTGCGCGCCCCGCCGAAGAACCTTCAGCTAGTACGACGCTGCAGCCTGGCGATGTGATGACGGAGTTGGGTATTACCGACCAACCTGCTCTGTCCGGTGCCGCATCGCCAGAAGGGGAGGAAGTGGAACCGATCAGCATTGAACCTAACGCCGCACAGCCGAGCGACCATGCGCCCATCCACCTGCAAACCTCCTAGGACCCCTCAGAATGTTGGAAGCTCTTTGTGGGCGAAATGTGAAAACTTTTCGTAGATGGGGCTTCTAACCGCCACGGTGCCGGGCTGGGCATAGTTCTGATTTCGCCAGACAGACTGACCATCGAACACTCTTATCACCCTTGGATTCCCTGCATCAAACAATGAGACTGAGTACGCGGCGCTTTTGGCCGGGCTCAAGAGCGCGCTTCAGATGCACGCATCCGAGCTAATGGTTTATAATGATTCCCAACTTGTGGTTAACCAAGTTTTTGGGGTTTATGAAGCTAAAGACGACAGAATGACGAAGTACCAAGCTCTGGTAAGAGACCACATCAAGCGATTCCAGGCAGTAAGGGTCCAACAAATTGGCCGTGAAGAGATCGGCCGAGCAGATGAATTAACCGGTCTCGCTTCCATGGTTGACAGCACATCTCCCAGCCCTCTCTTGGTTGAATTCCTTCCAAGGCCCAGCATTGAGGAAGCCGAGCAGACATAAGTACTCTGCACCGAGTTAGGTCCTTCCTGGATGGACCCAATTATCCTCTTCCTCAAAGATCGGACCCTTCCCACCGACAAAAAGGAAGCACATAAAGTCTGGGTGAAGTCAGAGCGGTTTTGGCTCTCTCTATCTGGCGCTTTATACAAGAAGTCTTTCACCGGTCCCTATCTCAAGTGTGTACACCCAAGCAGCGTGGAAGCTTTCCTGTACGAAATTCACGAAAGCATATGCGGCAGTCACATAGGGGGCAGATCTCTAGCCTACCGAGTTATCTCGCAAGGATATTGGTGGCCGTGCATGCATGTGAACCAGAGGTTAGTATCTCTCTGAACTTTTACCTGTAGAAAAGATGATGACTGTAGTTTCTGTGCACTTGAAAATCTGTTGCACCTGAAATATGGTGGTTGTGTTTGAGGTCTTCCTCCCTTTCCTTTTCTCCCACTTTGAGCTAAATCTCCTAGTTTTGATAGCTGTTGACTTTGAGTTAATCCTACATTTTGTTGGCTAGATCTCAAAGTTTGACAAACCTAAGCTGGAATGGCTTGGTGGTTTTGTAACACATGTCATTGTATGTACTTCGATTTGTTGCTTTGATATTTGGGATCTTTTAAGTATTCTTGTAATGTGTTGGTTTGGAGTCTTTGGACTACAGGATTAGCAGTTTGAGCCTCCAAAAACTATGGAGCCTGTACTCTGCTCTGCTGCATAAATTTAGGGTCCAGTAAGCTCGTTAATCTACCAAATTTTATTGTGCATGCTAACATGCTCTTGAGCCTGTACCATGTTATAACCCTTTAGCACAGGCCATATGTTGGGCATCTACTTGTGAATCCCATAAGGGGGGGCAATTCAAACCTTGCCATCTCCTTTGGGGATAGGCAGAAGTACTGTCCACTTTATCAGTCGTGGGTAATTTTTGAATTCTTATATGCTACTGGCTACTCATGTATAATATGTAAGAGATGCATTTCCAAGTATTGAATGTGCCATTGGTTAGTGATTTATATCTTAATTTTCAATTTCTCTCAATCCTAGTATCGGTGGTAATTAATTTGCCCTAGATGATCATGTTTTCATTAATGTTTGTGGTCAGTTTACAAATTAATGTAAATTATTAGTGTAATATTTGATTGCTAGAATTTAACAGACATTGTTCTCAATCAGGCACATCCATAATATGGATGTTGTTGCAGTGGAATGCACATCAGCAGATCAACATGAAACGGTCTTGAAAGTGAAGTGAAGCATTGGCTGTGCTATATTTCTTTACTTGACATTGTTGAATTTCTGGTTACTTGTATTGTTTTCCCTTCGCATTCTTGAATTTGCTCGGGGGCCTTACAGTTATGGGTAGATCATTAAGTTTTGGTGGATGAGATTATAACAAGAAAGCCAGTTTAGTGAATTTTTTTGCATCGTGTACCAATTGAATAGACCAGAAACTGAGTTCACTGGAACTTTGAAGTACTTCACCTTGGATGTAATTGTAGTTTGACGCCATTTTAAGGCTCCTTTTGAAGGATTCCTGAATTGTTGAAACTGAAGTTTTAAGATTCTCAGAATCAGTTAGCTGTGGATTTCAAACATAACAATGCAGTAATTTTAGCTCATGCTCAGTTTGGGACAGGTTTGGATTCAGAGGCTCTCGATGTCCCCTTTTCTTTGTCCCCATTGCTTCTCGTTCTCTGCAGCTGTTTCCACAACTTAAGAATTTAGGTATTTGCTCCCAGGTCTCGTTATCTCTGTCCATTGTTGTGGTGGTGGTTGTGGGTTTCTTATGTTTTTTTTTTGAGCTTCTCACCACCTTAGATACAATTCGGGTTACCATCATTTCACTTGCTCATTTGCTTCACATTATACGTGAACGTTTATCTTTTCCTTGCATACTCGAAATCTTCCCACGAGAATATAGTTCACTCAAAATTTTTTAGTACAGGCATATAAATCAGACTTTTCAGTAATAAATTCTTTTATGGCTTGCTTTTATATGCTTTGAGAAGACAAGTATGGCTCACCAACAAAAATACAAAATGGTTTTTCGGTCTCAAACCCTTTTTGTTCAACCTTTATCTAATGCTATGTTTGAATTTTAGATTTAAAGAGATTGTAGAGAGAAGAAAAATTTAAACAAAAATGTGATAATTTTAATTTATATTTCTCATGTTTCCAGTACAAAATCTTTTTTAAATTATACAGTCTAAAATTTAAGTTTTACTTAATTCACTCTCACATTTGCTTCACGTTCACAAATGTCTCCACAAATCCAAGATTCTATGGAGTATTTTACTTGCTACAGATGATAATACATAACCTTGACCTTATATGACAATCAGAACCCTCGATGAACCCATGCACATACAACACTTTGACGATATTTTCTCTTTAATTTATATTAATGGAAGTTATATTAAATAACACATCAACAAGACTAAAGCATTACTAGTTCTACTACAATTAACAAACAACAAAAAAGCCATGAGCAAGAAAATCCCACAAAGTTGGAACTTTGAGGCTGGGACTCAAAGTTACAGGAGTAATGATGGCATTAACTAGTTAATCACATACAAAGATACATCTCTACAAGACCATTTTAATCTAAAGATCACCTATTTAATCTTTGTACAATTAACACATTCCAGTTGTTGCCAATTATAATCTCATGTATCTAGTCCATGATTAGAATGTCCACTACTGATGATTATGATCACATCGATAAATCACTTCCAACTACGATAGTGGTATTTGACATCGTCCCAGGCTGAGCCATGATTGTGTGGTGAAAACAGACGGTTCGGGGGTGAAAATGGTACAGAATTGTATGAACTAGAAGTTGGAGCATCTTCATAGGCTGAAGGGCTCCATCTACCTCTGTCTGACAAGGACCTTCCAAAAGTAGGGCTTCTAGGTTTCGAAATATTACCTCTTGCACTATGGGAATGGGAACTATAGATAGAGTCGTATCCACCATATCTTGGTGAGAAAATAGATGAGGTTGCGTTATATCCAGGGTCACATCCGGGAGGCCCTTCATCTCTGAAATCCCGGGACCGCCTCTGCTCGTGATACTGGCCTCTGCTAACGGATTCTGATGAATAGTTAGATCTGCGGTGTGATCGATTTGAAGGCCCATCTGTCCATCGTCTTTCATCTGCATTTTCCGGGATTGGTGCATTTATTCCTGGAAATTCGATGCTCTTTTTCTTTGGCAGCTCAGGATAGTCAGTGTCGAGGATTTCCCCATCCTCCGTTTCTTCCTTAGTTTCCTCATCACCAAATATTTTGATCCCTGATGGCTGGTCCTCATTGTCATGATCTAAAAAACACCAACAAAAATTACATGAGACCATAAATGAAGTTAAGATTATTAAGGGAAATTGACGAAACATGAACAATAGAATAACTAGAATAGTGACAGCGGTAGAAACAAAACTTAGCTTATTACTCCGTTTGGATTGCAGAATGAGGAAATAAAAGAAATGATTTTGGTCTCCATATCTCTCCTATAACTCATACAAACTGAATATGAGAAGAGTTCTCTTTCTCTTTCATTTCCATCAAATCACAAGATCCAAACAGAATGTAAGAGATTGATGTTCCATACTGACAGATTTTACCATATTACTGTTTTTCCCCCCCAAGCTTCACATGAAAAACATTTTATTAGTATGCCCATCCATTTTCTAGGGAAACGAAATCTATATTTACTACCATGTTTTGAACTCGATGAATTTCTCAGGGCATGGCTAACCAAAAGAACTGAATAAACCACAGGAAGTGGACATTGGGCCGAGGTTGAAAGATTTTCCAAATTTCCAGACAATGCACATGCAGGTAGGTATGACACTGTAAACAAGAATGAGAGCACAAAGAAGAGACCCATGATGCTATGGAGAAAGAGGAGAAATCCAACATCTAATTGAGTACAAGACTAAATCATTTCACTTATATGCACTCCAAAAATCTAAATAGCACAACTACAGATTTATATATAAAAACAAAGAACTCTTTCAGGTAGATATGGAAGAAAACATGTGGTTGGTTACTAAGAATTCAAGTAATAATACATTTACCTAGATATCCCGGTGGGTATCCTAATTCTCGCATTCTGTTAAGCCAAGGAGGTGGATCAAGCTCCTGTGCGTACATAGAAAAGAAAAGTTCAAGGAACTTGAAAAAATAAAAATAGACATCCTATTACAACTTAGGGTGTTCATATTATTACACATATTATTTGACTAAAGTACCTGCATTTTTGCACCAATAAAGTGAACAGTAAGTCAAGAAAGTTAACAACTAATTTAACGACAGAAAATAAAATAAAACATTTCAAATTGCTTTCAAGTCTTAAGAAAAGTGTTGTTCCGAAAGAGTTAGTGCAACCAACTTCAACATGAAAGGGGGAAGTAGGCAATATTTTTTGAGACACCTTCAACACCACTCACTGAAAGAGAGAGAAATCAAACAGCTCATGTTTTTGACAAGATTAAGGGTATGAGATATGGTGTCTGACATATATGGTTGGGTATTCACCTAGCAAACATTATTAGTAACTCGAGTTTAAAATGTAATTATACAGAAAACTCCGTATTATGCATGAAATGCAATATGACACCTTGTCGATACTATTTTACTGTAGAAAATAAAAGAAATGTATTAGAAATATGAATATTTTAGTGTCCCCGTGTCTTTGAACATGAGAGCTAAATGAATCCAACACTTAAACCAAAGTCCATGTAACATAGATAAAGGGCTTTAATTTCAATCAAACAAGCAGCTAACATGTATTTTTTTGTGTTGCGCATTGGTTCCAAATATGACAACATTAGTACCAAGTAATAAAAAAGGAATACGACACAATCTGACTTAAAATGATCTGAACAACTGTGTAATGTTGACGTTTTGTCATAACAATTAATGCTCATGTAAAACACTAATAAAAATAGTACTAAGCCTTTCCATGCAAAAGCATTATTCATATATTACTTACCCCAAGACCTAAAAGTTGCCGTGTTTCAGCATCAAGGACACCTGGCTTTAAACCATCATACTTTCCCCTAGGAGAATCTTGATAATATCGAGTTGGGTTACGGGAACCAACATTTGGATTACGCTTAGACTTGAGTTTGTTGCGAGCATTATTGACAGCTACATTGTCACGAGGCTTTGGACACTCCTTTAATGAGTGGTTGTAAGAACCACAATTAAAACACCGGGAAGCATCTATTATTTCCAAGCCCCTACAACACAACAAATAATAACAACAAAATACATCATGTACTAGGCAATTCAACAGAATGAGTGCGGTAAATTAGATTTTCCTAGCATTGAATACGGGACAAGAAACAGCGCCTTCTTTTAATCTTTTTCTTGGATTCATTTCAAAGGCCACAGAGCTAAAGTTATTTTTCTTCCAAGGTCTCTGAAATCAAGAATCGTATACTAGATCTTGGAAACTGAGAAACATACCGAACCAACATGATACAGTGCAGGATGGTTGGATTAGGTTCTATAGAAAGCTTCATTAGATACAGGGTTCAATCAAAACAAACCAATGCAGAACCCCTACCATTTGACATTGCAACATCCTATAGGGACACAGGGCAGGCCGACACACATATCATTAAGTCCATAATTATCCCTCTTTGACATCCCAATATCTCAAGAATCTGAAGATTTTGTCATTATAGGAAATGGATGGAAATTTTAAACGAAGTAGGTAATATGAGAAACATAGAAATGGCTTGTTAAAAAAGGAACAATATGAGGCACAATATAAAATTTCTAAATAAAAAAAAAAAAAAAAAAAAAACAAAAAAACAAAAAAAAAAAAAAACAAACAAACAAAAAAGAAGGACCATGTCAAACTTGTTTTTATGACATCATCGAAACCAAAAGGCTTTAAAAAAATATTAAGCCACCTACAGGAAAATTGAACAATATATACTTCACAACTTGTATGATCACTGAAAAGGAAGCAAGGAGGAGAAGAAAACAATCCTATCACTAACAACCACGTAATAATTATTAAAAAAAAAGAAAAAAACTTCTCCAGATCTCAACAAGTTTAGGTATGTGACCATCATCTCATATTTTCCTACTTTATTTTGTTCTTACTCTCAGCAGTCTCCGTGAGGAGACATAGGTGAGTATGAAACATACTGACTCAAGTACCTATTAGAAAGTTGTCAACATAGACAAATAAAAATGCCAGCAAATATGAGTACAGTTGTAGAAACAAGTGAACACAACATGTGGCTCTCCCCGTAAGAGAACAGAGCCTCTGGATATCATACGTTATTTCGAAACAATATAATTATTCTCATGAGATGAACATAAATATTGCTTGCATAACAAGATTTCAGAAGTTTTTTGTCAAAACCCAAAGGTTAAATATATCTGAAATATTTTTTTGATAAAAATTATATCCGAAATACTTGTCATGCCTGTAAATTAAGAACCAAGTTTCTCCACAGAGATCAAAATTAAATATATCAAAAAATTTCAACTTCAAAATTACACTTCTAAGGATCTTGAGATCAAAATAGTGCAACTCAAAAGGCCAACCTGCAGCTATTTCTTTTAATAGACATTGATTCATTTATGACTAAAAGGAGTTTGCAAGTTCATACAAACAAATCAAAGTATTTACCCTTCCAGCTTATTAGAACCATCTGTCAAAGTCAAGCCAAATGAGTATCCCCGGTCATAAAGTGGAACTGACTTACTATCCAATGTAATAAACTCCTTGTTGTTCTGCTGGTTCATTGGCTGATTGTCCATCCAGAAAGACTACACATAAAAGAGTACAGACAACTTCAACAAAATATGCACTGCAAAGGAAACTTGAAACTACAAAACCAAGGAAATTTTGAGCAGAAATATTTGACATACTCTTAACACTATGTCAAGGAAATAACACAATTTCTTGCTTCACTTAGTCAAGTGGTATGGCATCCACTACTCTGAGCAGCCAATTAGAAAGGCATAGCAATCGAATAACACAAATTTTTTTAATGAATGGTAGGACCAAAATAGTGTTGCGTCAACACACTAACACACACACCAAAAAAAAAGAAGAAAAAAAAAAAAGCACTGGAAGACAAATGCAGTTCTTGTAAAAATACTCATTAAATTATTATTTTTTTGAATGAAAATATTAGCCACCCATCAAGAACAGAAATGTCAGGAAAATGTTCACATATTATAAAACCTTGAACAAAATGTTAGCACTCTTGGATGAAAAAGTTTTCAAAAGAAAAGAGTGGAAGCAAGATTAGCAACAAGTCCAGAAACTACAAAAAATGGAAGACAGTGTCTGTATGCATGTTATACAGTTAAATTTCAAATATCAGAAACCTCCATAACTAATAATATCACAGACTTCCCGAAAGCTGAGGCTACGGTAAATTTAAGTCTATATAATCTACTTAAACAACTGTTTTACTCCTGATGCAAATGTATCAATTCCTAAGGTTTTACCATTGCATTTGAAGTTGCACTTGTTCTTCTTTAACCTGACATACATGCATGCCAACAACAAAAAAAAAAAAAAGGAAGAAAAAAAGAAAAAGAAAAAGAAAAATCGTACGAGCATTGCCTAGAAAAAAAGCAATGATAAAAAAGTAGGGCTGTTAATCTAACCCGGAGACCTGGCAAACCGTCCAATCCGAACCCACCCGACGAGCTACGGACGGTTTCGCATGTGCTGTGGTTCGGTTGCGGGAGTAAATCTATTGTTTTAACAAGTTCACGGTCGGTTGCGGGAGTAAATCTATTGTTTGAACCGAAAACCATTTTAAAATACCTTCAACTTCTCAGACTTGGAAACCCAAAAGACAGCCTGGGAAACCCAACCCTCCTTTTCTCTCTCTCTCTACGCAGCAGAGTTCTCAAACTCAACCAACCCCTATATTGCAACATCAAAGATGGTGATAGTAGCTCTCCCTACAAACTCACCTCCTCTGATCTCGCAACGACGATGGGTGTGACGGTAGCGTACTCGTAGTTGCAGCGGTGGACTTGCAATGGTGGCAGTGAGTTCCTTTATTCACTCTACTAACTCTCCACGCTTTCAGATCTCTCTCTACAGGTCTGGATGTGACTTTCTTAGATCTGATGATTGATAGCTGAATCTTGTATTCTTTGTGTGAAACCGGCAAAGCCAACTAACAAAACCGAACGAAAGTGCGGTCGAGTTTGAGGAAAACGGCGGTCAACAAAGGTTGATATTAGTACCAAACCGAAGGGGTCGGTTCGAGTGCTGGTTGAGACTGCAAACCTGTGCCAACTGACCCGTGAACACCCCTAATAAAAAGGAAAGGGAGAAAAGAAACCATCCAGCCCTAAGTTGAAAGTGCAGTTACATAACACAAATATGCTGATGTGACTTGGTTCTCATGAGTAGGGATGGCAATGGGGGTTAATGGGGTGGATATTAATTTTCCATCCCCATTCCCCTATGATAAATTTTCCCCATTCCCCATTATCCATTCTCCATGGGTACCACTCTCCCCATTTCTTAATGGGTTTGGATTTTCCCCAACCCACTTTAATCCCCATTTTTATTTTTATTATTTAATGTTAACAACCACTTACCTTCAATATTTTTTCTTTCTTTTTTAATATATTTAATGTTAACAACTTTTTTTTTTCTTTTTTTTTAAGATTTTAGCTAAATATACCTTCAATCTTTTTTTCTTTCTTGTTTAATATATTTAATGTTAACAACTTATTTTTTTATTTTGTTTTAAGGTTGACAACAAAAGCTAAATAATTTATTAATGTGTTTATTTTTTTTTAAATTCAAATATCAAAAAAGGTCAAAATACGCATGACGCCTACTAATGTAGTCTCTCTCTCTCTCCTATTCTTCCACCTCAGCCGGCCTCGTTCCACTCATGTTCTCTCTTTCTAATTTTTTATTTTTTTATTTAAAAACTAAATTATTGATAAAAGAAAAAAAAAATTGACTAAAACAATTTTAAGACCTCACTTTTTTCTTTCTTTCTTTCTTTTTTTTTTGTGTGGAGAATATCAAAAAAATCAAAAGTAAAAAATAATTACAAAATGATGAAGATAAAAGTGATTTATGCATTTAATTATGGCAGTGTTTGGAAATGAAATTTATAGATCACTTTAGCCTCTTCAAGAAAAAAATTCAAAATGTATTGTTGCTGGCTTCCCACATGATACACAACTGTAATGGACAAAAGGTAAAATGACGCTTTTGCCTTTTTAATTTTTGAGAAACTCAACAACAACGATAATACACATAGGGACATTTTGGTCATTTATTATCTCTACATTATTTCAAACACATTTTTCAATACATCAATCTAACAAAAAATCCAATCCATCTTCTTAAATGCAAAAACTAAAATAGTTTACTAAAATAGTCAAATAGGCAAAACCTCTAAAAAGAAAAAAGATTGAATGTATATTTAGCTTTTGTTGTGAATCTTAAAAATTAAAAAAAAAAAAACAAAAAACAAAAGAAAAAAGATTAAATAATATTTAGCTTTTGTTGTGAACCTTAAAAATTAAAAAAAAAAACCAAAAGAAAAAATATTGAATGTATATTTAGCTTTGGTTGTGAATCTTAAAAATTAAAAAAAAAAACAAAAAACAAAAGAAAAAAGATTAAATGATATTTAGCTTTTGTTGTGAACCTTAAAAATTAAAAAAAAAAACCAAAAGAAAAAATATTGAATGTATATTTAGCTTTGGTTGTGAATCTTAAAAATTAAAAAAAAAATGGTTGTGAACCTTAAAAATAAAAAATAATAATAAAAAAAAAAGATTGGAAAAGAAAAAAAAAAAAGATATATGGGGAAATTAGTGGGTACCCATCCCCAACCCATCCCCTGTGAATATTTAAAGAATATCACTTACCCTACCCAATGGATAAGAAAAAAAAGAAAAAACTCATATTTTTGGGTTGGGTCTTCATAGATACCCACAGGGTAGATTATCCATTGCCATCCCTACTCACGAGACTTTCTTCAGTAGTGGCCAAAAATGGCATGATGATATAGAGTGCGCATCAAATCTTCCAAGCCATTCAGAAGAGAAGCAGAGATATTAAAGAAGAGAGAAGAGAAGAGGGACAGAGAGAAGATACAAACAAGAGATGAGGGAGGAGGAAGAGAAGATAAAAATATGAGAAGAAAGAGAGTACAGAGATTTAATTTAACATAGAAGAAAAAAAAGCCAAGAAGCAGAGAGAAGGAGAGCACATCTCTTCCAAATATTTCAATTTTAATTCCTTTTCAAAGGCATCATCTCATTTTCTCATAAGAGGCCCTAATAATACATAGTTACCATATGAAACTACCCTAGCCCATATAGTAAAAACTTCAGCCCAAGAGTTTATCCCTAAAATTCTTTAAAAAAAAAAAAAAAATTAAAATAGAAATACAGCAATACATACAACTAAAGTAATCACAAGTCCTAACAGAATTCTAATGATTGAAATACATCAATTGACAATCATCTTCTCAGTTCTCATAGTCTTAGACCAACTTGGGTGCATTATGTCAGTAAAATCATATTATTACAAATACACAGTGATTATAATAATCATTATTGTTGATTTTAAGTCTTATGCTTTACTAATTTCAAAACAAAGGAAAAAGCTCCCAAAGAGGATTGTCCTTGTTACTCCCATATTTAATGATATGTTGAGCACATTGAGACACAAATGAGCTTATCATCAACTAATTGTGCAGCCTGATTTCTCTTGAAAACTGAACAATAATTATATTACTCCTTCCTTCTGTAAACAAAGTAGAGGCGCATTGAAAGGAGTTACAATTTTTTAAATCACTTTGAAATTGGAAGGACCAATGAAAACATTTCAAATCACATCATATTTCAATGAACTAAAGAAACCGATCGTCAAAACAGGTACAGACTACAGAGATAAGACAAGCAGTAAAGGTCAAAAACCAAACCAAATATGCCATAAATAAGATATCAGGTTAATGCTTTGTGTGCACCCGAGACACATAAGAAAACATACCACTGCAGAAGGATTATCCAAACCAACATGAAGTGCAGGGAAGTATGTCTCTTCACCAGATTCTGGCACTTCAATGGAAACCTAAATGGATAAAAATATGTCAACAAGGACTTCAACCAAACAAAAATATTTAAAAAATGCAGCTAACTGATGAGACATCTAAACCGATTGCATAACCTAAATAACATCAAGGGACAACTTCATAAATATATAACTGCAAGGAATCCATAAGAAACACTGAAACTGAATTACCATTGTGCAAATACCAGACAGACTAAGGATAAATTTTTTTGATTTTATTCTGGGCAATAAGATCCATTAAACTAATCAATTTTCAGCTCACACCTCAAATTATCCATGCTGCTGGCTATATTGATGTTGCAAATTACCAAATTACACCATTTTTTTTTATTACAGCAGTAATATTGTTAAAGGAAAAAAATAAGAACAGAGAGGTTATTGATGATCTAAGAAAAACCAGTATAATTATCCATGCTGCTGGCTATATTGATGTTACAAATTACCACATTACACCATTTTTTAATACAGCAGTAATATTATGAAAAGAAAAAATAAGAACGGAGAGGTTATTGCTGATCTAAGAAAAACCAGATTAATAATGCATCTTAGCCTTCTAGCCTTCCGCCCTCCGGAACAGAACGGAAGTTCCACGTCCCAACTCAATCCTCATAATTGGTCAGTCCAAACTCCAACAGTGCAGGAGACTGGGAATGCGTTGGTACTTGAACCATATTTCCATATTTATTATTCACTCTTACAACATTCTTAATCTTAAATGGTTGATATAGATGAAGGGGCTATTTTTGCCTGCCACCAGATTCTGTCAAGGCAATTTGGGACATTCTCTGATATGTTAGCGGAGGAAGGAAATAACATACGGCTTTGAACTCAATTTGGGCTAATTTTCCAGGATTTAAATTCATCCCAAAGGATGCCCAATATATTCTCCACAGCCAACTAAAAAATCTTCAGAAAAATGACCTCTGCATCCAAATGTACAGAATCACTTCTTTATGGAGATTCCACTGGATTAGTTTCTTCTTCATTTGAAGAGTAATAAAAGATCACAGTATTTTGACTAAAAGAAAAATGGGAAAGTGAAGACTACAATTTTGGGTTTAATAAAATGAATCAGGCTTACATGTGATGAAGAAAAATGTTGCGCATGCCATTCCGACCATTGCTGTAGTAGCTGCTCAAGCTTCCGTTTACTGCCTCTGTTAAAGAAAACTTATCCATTCAGAGGTTGACCAAAAACATGCAAGTGAAACATGCAACTCTTCTTTTATGAAAATACCTTGTTAGAGAATTATACACCACACGCACTGAAGGTTGCTGCTCATCAGCTGTCATTCTGGCTTTCTTAACACCAGAAATGGCTAACATGCAAAATTATGGAAAACATAACATGGGATAACTAATTATAAGCTGCAGGCAGAAACTTGTTTCCGTGGACATGTTAGTATTTCTTTTCTGAACTGCATTGTCCTAAGACACATGGAAATCAAATAACAGGATACAGTTACTGACGGGACTTCCATCTCTCTTGTAACTGGTAATGGGACTTCCATCCTCCCCATCCATCTCAGCTGCCGGCAAAAGTTGGCTGTCTCCATTGCTAACATCAACCTCAGTCCCTGAGATCTCCCCATTTTGCTTGTCTTTTTTAACCTCTACACTACTTGGTTGAGAATCAGCACCACTAGGTTCACAATTAGAATTACGAAGCTCACCACTCTCACTTTTATAGCCAGAATTGCTAGGAGCAGGGAGGTCAATCAAATCTTCACTTTGCATAATTTAAATGAAAAAAGCTTCCGTGGTGGCGAGGCACAAATCAAACAAGAAGTTACTCTGCATAAGATTAACCCTGGTTAGCAAATATAGAGCAAAGTAACATCTCATTCTTTAAGGATTGTAAATGTGCTTGTTCTAGCCTAAAAGTCAAAAAATTACTAAATAAACCAAAAGGCGTAGAACCTATACCCAAAAAGCCAAAGATTCCTTTTTCTCTCAACTTTTTGCACATCTTTTCATAAAAAATCAAAAAGTCATTCCAAACATATTAGTTTTTTTACCTCATATTTTAGTCAAAAAGCCAAAAAGTTACTAAAATAGCATGTTTTCAAACGAGGCCTACAGCAACTTTTCACATTAGCAACTGCCAAAGTAAATACCATCACATGCACCGTGTTGTATCCATGTCCCATAACTCAACAAGGACCTCAAAAGAACATAAATTATAAATACCTTGTTCATGTATATACATATAATGGTCCATTTGAATAGATGTGAATTTCAAATCAAGGGATTTGAGGTTAAATGAATGGAAAACAATGAAAGAAGACAAGTTTTTTTTTTTGATCAAATGAAAGGAGATAAATTGAGATAAAAGATATATATATATATATATATATTAGTAGGATCCTTGTAAGCTATAACTAGAAAGAGAATCCTTAGCATGATTTTAAATAACTAGTTTTATGTAGTTATTTCAAACCCATCGTGATAAACCTATTTAACTCAACCTTGAAATTCATAAGTAAACTATCATATCTATATTTGAGTTATTGCCCTTCAATGACTAAGGTCAAATCCCTTGATTTGAAATCCACATCCATCCAAACAAACCCCGAGTGTTGCATGTATACGTGGATATAGTGCACCTTGTCCACATAAAATGAAAGGGCAAATCATCAAGCACAAAGGACAGAACACTTATTGTCTCACATATATGAGAATGAGAAGGCAAGCTCTTCAGTAGAACATAGCAGCAATAAACAGCGATGGACAGGGTGAGATTCAAACGAGAACTAACTTACGTCCTGGCTTTAAAAGGGATCCTGTCAATGACAATCAGATGGTACTAGCATAACAGCAGCTCCTATAAAGAGGAGCCAAAATCAATGACATAATGCAATTGCAATGAGAGAATTAAAACACAATACCATATGACAGAAAAGTGAGGGCAAGTTAAAATTTGAATTCAATTATATTTACACGAATTCAACTTCGTATGAAGTTTCAGTAATGAATAAAAGCACCACACAATTGAGTTCTCATACTAGCATAACAGCAGCTCCTATAAAGAGGAGACGAATCTGTAACCATTTTTTTTGGGGGGGGAAAGTACATCTGTGACATAATGCAAAATAGCAATGAGAGAATCAAAACAACTACCCAAAATTAAAAAGTTAGGGCAAGTTAAAATTTGAATTTAGACAGATTCAATTACACCTATTTAAAAACAACACCGCACAATTGAGTCGTCATACCGAAACACCCAATTCACCTAGGCAGAGCAAAATCTACACCCTCTGGAATTGCTTAATCTTGAAGACAAATTTTCTGAAAAGAGTAAAACAAAAACTCCTAGTACCAAAGAAGGGGTGTTTGAGTGATACAATTACAGAATTTAATAATTAGAAGAGCATTAATGGCAAAAAAAATCCACATCAATCAAGAGATTGAAAGAGACAAACCCATCAAGAAAAGAAAGATAGCTGAGAAAAAGAAGAAAGACATACAGAAAGAACTGGAATCAGCTACACATTTGAGATTACAGCTCGATATGCCTTCAACGATGTCGGATCAGAGTCGTCCCGACACTGCCGCCGACTATGGGGATAGGGTTTGAGCGGTGAAGAAGAAGAGAGAGAGTGAGAGAGACTGAGAGAGAGATAGCCGGATTAGCTATCGATTCCTTTATCGGTGGATCTAATTCTCTGTAAGAATTTTAGAATCGCAGATCGTTAAACCTAGATGTGAAATTGGGAATCGTGTGGGATTTGAAATGAATTCCAAATCCAAAGTCAAATCTTGATAATTAATGGAATTTCCAAATGCCCTAATTTCATAATGCCAATCACGGCCTTAAACCTACTTTATCTCTCACTTCTTTTCTTTTCTTTTCTTTTTTTTTTCCTTTTTTTTTTTTGGTTGCGTGTGTTATCCTTGCCTTGCTTTGGGGTGCTTTGAGAAGCGTATTTTTTTGACTTTTTTTTTATTATTTATTTTTGTTTTTAATAAAAAAAAATTAAAAGCTTTATATTTTTAGATTTATCTCAATAAGATGAATCAAAAAATTATAACTTTTTTTAAAAAATAAAAAAAATATTGGAAAAGATGAAAATAAGCATTCTTTTTTGGACTTATTTATATTTTTAGTGATTTTTTAACATAATTTTTTAAAAAAAATACTAAAGACAAAAAAAAAATTTAATTTTTTGGAGTTTTTAAAATGGGCCATTCGCAGGCTGAAAACAGCACAGTAGCGATGCACAACCGTTACTGCTGTGCATAGAGCACAACGGCATCCCATCAACAATGCTATAGATCATTAAATTTTTACTATTAACACTATTACTAATGATGTGACAAGTAAAAAAAAAAAAAATTAAGACACAAAACACATGTAACAATAGATGAGATCCATTACCACATCCCTAGTGCAACCACTAATTAGTGGTCTGCCTTATTTTTCAGCATCCCATTTCCTTGTCAGTAACCCATCTCATCAGATTGACGCTATGGGCGTTTATTATAATTAAAAATTAGTAAGTATCATGCATAGAAATTTAGTTTTAAAATAAAAAATTAATTTTGAATCAATTTTATATGTATAAAATTTTAATAATTAAAAATTAAATATAAATAAATTTGTCAATGGCTGATGAAATTTTTTGTTAATGTACAGGGGTGGGCAACGGTTTATCCGAACCGCTCAAACCGCCTAACCTGCCCAACCCGTACATAAACGAGTAGTTTCACAAAAAATAAATTATATTCTTAACCTGAAATCAAATTTTCATTTGTGTTAATCAAATTTATTAAAAATTATGAATTCTACTTGTATCAAAATATTTTTCTGAAAAAAATAAAAATATCAAAAAATTCTATAATATACAATCATAACTCATGATGTATTTTTATGGTTATTAATTAAAAAAATCTTTGTTAATTTCTTATATTTTTTATTATGTCTAAAGTGTATGTTATTGTTTTTTAATATAAATGTTTTCCATATTCTCAACAAAAAAAAAATAAAAATGGTGCATCGGGTATTTATGATTCAAGTAGTGTTTGATTATAATCTATTATAATGTTTTTATATGACAATATTTAAGTATTTTATTATACGAAAAAGTACTTAAGGTGGATTGACTTAAAAGTAGGATTCATGCTTATATCAGTAATATCATAAGAATTATTCACATTGATGGATAAAAAAATTATAAATATAAACAAAGACTTAAAAGAAAATTAGATATAAAATCTCTACAACCTTAATAATTTCAGTTCTCAAAAGGGTTTTGATTAATTACGTGACACATCATAATAACCGTAGATTTTTTATTCTTACCAAATTATTCTTGCATATCTTTTTTGACAGAGCTCATGAAGGTGTATTATCAGTAATACTATAAATTCAAATTTTTTATTTAAAAATTATCCAAAACACATCAATATGTGCCTTAAATACATATAATCATTTTTAATGAATCATTATTCTTTAAAATAATACTACACGCTATTTATTATTTGATATTTGTCAACTTATCTTTTAAAAACTTACCAAAAAAATATTGTGTTTAATTATTTTAACCAATCAATATTAAATTGGGCACAACATGGTGTAGACACCCCATTTTTGACCGACCTTAAGACTCAGACGTCACTGATTGAGCGATTGGTGATGTTGTGTAATGTGCGGCATGATTCAATATTTTTCAAAGTAAATATCGATTGATTCAAGGATTATAGGCCTGATTCAAAGCTCAAAACTCAAAATTCTATCGATTTTTCAGAGTAAACATCAAATTTCATTTGATAGAACCAGAGTAAAATTTTACTCTGGTTCTATTGCTCTGTTTTTTTCATTTGACAGAACCAGAGTAAAATTTTACTTTTAGTTTCAGAGTCTTACACCAGAGTAAAATTTTATTTTTATACAGAGTAAAATTTTACTTTAAGTTTCAGAGTATAAAATTTTACTCTCATTCATAGTAAAATTTTACTTTTATACAGAGTAAAATTTTACTTTCATACTTTACTCTGAAATACATAGTGAAAATGTCTTAATAGGAGAGCTGATAGATATGAGGGTAATATAGTAAAAGAAACAAGTTTTAAAATATCAGGGGGTTTTGAAAGTACTTATATAATTCTTGTCCTTTTGAAAGAGAAATTAGATAGTAAGGGGGCTATGACCAAATCCCCCTTTTTTTCATGGCAAAAATGCTAGTGTAGGGTCTCTTTGTTTTGGGTACTTTCATTTAATACATTGATATTCAATTTTTATCTGTAAACTCATCAGAAAATTGTTATCACAAATATATAAAATAAATCTAATGCCTAAATTCGATGGGAAAAAAAAAACTCAAAAATTAATTTTTAAAGAAAAAAGTGTAAACCGCAAACCGCCCGCATATTTGCAAACCCTATCCGCACAAACCGCAAACCGCACTGCGGGCAGTTGCGGTTGACTTTTTTCCAAACTGCATAGATGCGGGCGGGTCAAAACCGAACCGCAAACCACACAAAACCGATCCGCGAACACCCCTAAATGTATGTGATCCTATATAAAAGGTTTATAAAAATAATTTCTTTCAAAATTATAAAAAAAATAAATTATATTCTTAACCCGAAATCAAATTTTCATTTGTGTTAATCAAATTTATTAAAAATCATGAATTCTACTTGTATCAAAATATTTTTCTGAAAAAAATAAAAATATCAAAAAATTCTATAATATACAATCATAACTCATGATATATTATTATGGTTATTAATTAAAAAAGTCTTTGTTAATTTCTTATATTTTTTATTATATCTAAAGTGTATGTTATTGTTTTTTAATATAAATGTTTTTCATATTCTCAACCAAAAATAAAAATAAAAATGGTGCATCGGGTATTTATGATTCAAGTAGTGTTTGATTATAATTTATTATAATATTTTTATATGACAATATTTAAGTATTTTATTATACGAAAAAGTACTTAAGTTGGATTGACTTAAAGGTATGATTCATGCTTATATCAGTAATATCATAAGAATTATTCACATTGATGGATAAAAAATTATAAATATAAACAAAGTCTTAAAAAAAATTAGATATAAAATCTCTACAACCTTAATAATTTCAGTTCTCAAAAGTGTTTTGATTAATTACGTGACACATTATAATAACTGTAGATTTTTTATTCTTACCAAATTATTCTTGCATATCTTTTTTGACAGAGCTCATGAAGGTGTATTATCAGTAATACTATAAATTCAAATTTTTTATTGAAAAATTATCCAAAACACATCAATATGTGCCTTAAATATATATAATCATTTTTAATGAATCATTATTCTTTAAAATAATACTACATGCTATTTATTATTTGATATTTGTCAACTTATCTTTTAAAAACTTACCAAAAAAAATATTGAGTTTAATTATTTTAACCAATCAATATTAAATTGGGCACAACATGGGTATGTAAATCACTTATACAAATATGATGTCTAACATAAAATCACAATGGAATTAACTTTAATTAATGTAATGATATTTTTATATTATGATATGTGTTACAAAAGAATAATTTAAATTTAAAATAAAATTTAAATTTAAATTATATATTTTAATAATTTTAGCCTTATTGTTATAGTTAAATTGTTTGTTTATTTTGATTATTTTAGTTCTATTGTGTTATAAAAAATATGATATCTAACATAAAATCACAATGGAAATAACTTTAATTAATGTAATGATATTTTTATATTATGATATGCGTTACAAAAGAATAATTTTAATTTAAAATAAAATTTACAAAAGAATAATTTTAATTTAAAATAAAATTTAAATTTAAATTATATATTTTAATAATTTTAGCCTTATTGTTAATAGGTTGTTTGGGATGTCCTAAATAAGCGTACTTTTTGTCTTTTTGGACTAAAAAGTTGAGGAAAAAAATATGAATGTTTGGATTAACTTTTTGACTTTTTAAAAGTCGAGTCCGAGCTGTAGCGAGGTCCCCCGCGGGCTTGTTACACATGGGTATGTAAATCACTTATACAAATATGATATCTAACATAAAATCACAATGGAAATAACTTTAATTAATGTAATGATATTTTTATATTATGATATGCGTTACAAAAGAATAATTTTAATTTAAAATAAAATTTACAAAAGAATAATTTTAATTTAAAATAAAATTTAAATTTAAATTATATATTTTAATAATTTTAGCCTTATTGTTATAGTTAAATTGTTTGTTTATTTTGATTATTTTAGTTCTATTGTGTTATAAAAGTGTAATTAGCATATAAAGATATATTAAATTATAAGATAGTAAAATAAACACTCATTTTGATATTTAAAATAATATTTAAATTAGAAAGAGAATTACTAATATAAAACTAAAAATTATTCTAAATATTTAATTTAATTTTTTATTTTTATATTTATTTGAAAAATAAAAATATGTAAAAATGAAACTACACAAAATTATTTAAAAGATTAAATATAAATACGTTTTGATTAGACTAAGAAGAAAATACAAAAATTAAATATGTAGAGTATTAATTTTTTTTCTTTAATATTCTTTTTGAATTATTCATACATATTGTATAAAGGTATATAAAATTTCAATTAAATTTAAATGTTTTGTAATAAAAAATTTCATTTTAAATAAAAAATTAAATATAAATTAATATTAAGACATCAATAAGATAGACAAAAAATATAAAATATAAAATAAAATTAATTTGATCCATGCGATGCACATAATTAAGCACATTCTGTATTTTTTTATTTGTATATTGATATGATTTTTTTTTTCAAATATCATAATAATTTAATTAAAATATCAACTATATAAAAGAAA